CCCGTCTGAACTGTTTGTGGTTTCCAAAGTTCCATATTTGCCAGTCATAGCGTATCTTAACTCAGTTTCCCTGAGCAATAAATGCAGGTGATAAGTATGGCTCCTGTGGTGTCAGAAGACTTAAGTCAACTTTCTTGAACAGGGATCATTAGGAGAAAGAGAAAAAAATAACAATCTATGGCCAGGACTCCTTTCAAAGAGYTATGACTTACTGGAGTTGTAAGGCTAAAAGCCTGATGATTTTAACAGGATGGAATGGAGATAARGATTCTCCTGAAGGGTCTTTGATTCTGAAGCTGACCTTCCCTCTCTGTTAGTCCTCCCTTCAACACAGAATATCTTATCTTCAAAAACATCTTCAGATAATTCTCTCTCCAGCTTTTTGGCAGTGATAATTAACCAGATTTTTAAGATTTTTCTCTGGTGCTGATAAGGATCATATTACTAAGCTGAATGTCCTTATTAATAATGGTTTACAATACTTATGTGTCCAGATGGACATTATAAGTACAAACAAATAATTGAAAATTGTGAATATAGGCTGGATGCAGATTTTCCTCTTTGTTTTGCATTTATATTTAATATTCCACTCCATCAAAATATTAGACTGAAAGATTAGAGGAGCTTACTTAAATCAGCATAGTGCACTGCAGCTTTCCTTCTCAGAATCCTTTAACTTGCTTTTCATATTGCATCCACTATTTTTAGAAAAATGGCGAAGTGTCTTRTCTTCCCCCCAGTTTAGATACTCCTGCTGTTCTCTCTTCTCCTTTAGTGTGACAAACCTTAAAGCTGTAAGGGACCTCTGATGGTGAAGAAACTCAAATACTGGTTCTGAAATGTACTTTTCCAGAAATCACTTTTTAAACTGCTCCACTGCTATGACAGTAACAGAAACTATTTCTAGAATTTGAATCTGGACTGTTACCAGGCTTCTGTGTTTTGGCCTGACTGGGTCGTCCTTTTCAGCTATTTTTTTGATAGACTGGGAATTTGTTATTCATCCTGTTCACAAGTGGTRAAAAGACAAGATGAGCAGCTTCTTAACTTGCTTCATCTGTTGGGTTTTTACTCTGTGAAGAGCACGAAGACTAGGGTTGAGATAATTTTGATAGGAGGACTAACAAAGAAAAGTTCATTAATACAGTAAGGTTGGAGAGGCCTTATGTAGGACTGGTCTCTTTCTCAGTCAGTCCTTCACTGTGTGAACATTGGGCTTTACAAGCTCGTCTGTCCAAGCAAATCGGTTTGCAGCAAGTTAAGTTGGAATTATGGTGCAGTGGAAACTCTGTTGTAATTAATATTATTTAAAGAAGAGGTAGTCTCCTCTGCTTTCAATGCAAAACAATTTATCTTGTGGAACAAAACCCTCAGCTCATGCTAAGAGTGCCTGAACACAGAGCCAGTATGGAAGCCCAACTTCCTTCCTGTGTAAAGACGACCTGCATCTTCAGCCTCCTCCACAAACTTTTCCTCTAGAAGAGAAGATCTTTAAGGAACCCCAGGGGGGGGGGGGTCACTCTGCAAGGCTTCTTGTAGACTCTGTCCACCTTTTATAGGGGTTATTGAGACACATGGCATTGCTATAATCTTAAACAACCTGGGTAAAATGCTTAATTCTCTACTGGCTCGAATCCTGCGTGGTCATTGACACCTCCCAAAGAGAGTGCCACTTAAGAATTCTCCACTCTCCTAGAACACTGATGGGGTTTTGCGATCATGTGTATCCTTTGCCCAAGAATAAATGAGTGAACAAGAAAAGCAAAAGAAAGTCACCCTTAATTTTTTTGGTGCTGTGTGAAAGACAGAGRCAGAGGACCAAAATCTAGCCTTAATTTATCCTCCAGAAAACTAGGATAACTATGYTTTTGTAATTGCCATTTCCATAGAATTTAGGATTTGACTCTACTCTTCCTACAAATTACCATCCAAATCAGGATATGAATAGTTCATCTAAGTAGAATCTCTTGTTATGATGATTGAAATGATTAAAATTTTGTTTCTTTCATACAGTAGTGAAAAAATAGAATTAATTCAGTCTGTTCATTTAATTTCACTTTTGATAACTTTTTTTTTTTTTTTTTTTTTTTTTTTTTTTAATTTAAAGTAACTGATATCTATTTGGATATAGAAAACTAGGACCAGGTCCTCCTTATCCAAGAAGTAAATCATTCCATCTTGGGAAAGATAGTTATGGGCTTTTTCTATGATTTCTCCCCACTAGAAATTCACTACTGTAAGCAGTTGTATTCTATTAAAGATATGACAATACAGATTAACAGGACTGGGCCTGTCATATGCCAGGAGCAACAAATCTTGATGTATATTTCTTCTGATATCATTTGGAGTTACAATATTTGAATTTCCTTTCAGAAGATTATGGAACAGATTAGGGAAGCACCAACTCTTACGATTTCAACTGCTGGTTAGAATGGAAAGGCAATGGGAGCTTTACTTGAACTTTCCTTCCTTGGGCTGCTATTAGCTTTTGAAAATCAGGATATTAATAACCTCTTTAAAAGATCCAAACACTGATTTAGCATACAGGTGAATCCTGCTGAGGATGCTCACAAATAGRTATCTATATGCAGACAGACAGGAATTTGTCCATGCAGAGTGAACTGGTGCTTCTGTGGTTTGAAAGGATGGTGTAGAGCAGAAGCTTTACAGCTCCACACATCCTGTGCATACACACATTGCTTTTACATAAAGAGACAAAGATATCTATCTGCACGACAGATAGACAAACAGACTGACTGACTTCAAACTTGCACTTTCAGTAGGGATTTTTTTCCCCCCATCTCAGGGTACTGCTTTTCAAAATTGCCTGAGGCTACAGTACAGCACCTCAGATCCCCAAGGCCCATTGCCTGGCTCCTAATAGCCACTCTCCATCTGTGTCACATGAACAGCTGATGAGATAGCTCCAGTGTCTGTATTTTGGAGAGCATATCCACCCAGGTTAAAATGCTGGGGTTGCCAAGGAGCAGTCAGAAGCCATTAGTGTTTGTGAGAATTTGCCTTGCAGCAGTTCCTTGGCATAGTGGAAAGTGTGTGTGTGTGTGTGTGTGTGTGCGTGCGCACGTGTCTGCGAGAGAGGGGTAGGTGAAATACATGGGGGGGAAGAAAGCAGCAGAAAGGACAGCTTTCTAAATAACCAATATATTGCAAAAGTAAACAGTTGGTTACACTGTTTAGAGCTTCCATAATSTCTTTGATTAGTTTACTGTGATTTGACTCTCCTTTCCCTATCGTTAATAGGAAAGGAAAAAAGGCACAAGAAAGAGAGCAGCGACTTCGGGGTCTTGCTCTGGTGTTTGGGCAGATGGAAAGGAGCTGCTCTGCCTTGGGGCAGGGTGGTTGTAATGAAGTGGCCTGTCAGTCTGTAAATAGTGAGGGTCATCTCTTCCATGTGATGGAGGGTATCACATTGCAGTGAAAATGGAAATGTCAATAAAATTAATCTGCGAGCTCTTTGCTGTGGCTTTTTCTGTCTCTCCAGTCCAAAAGGGTTGGTTTTTCAGAGGGGACACAGTAAGAGAAGGGTGAYCTGGCATGGGAGGGAAGATGGAGCTGAAATGCAAGTTTTGAAGCAAATGGACTGTATGTAGCAGCCATGTATTTCGTTTAGTAGCACTACAGATCTGGACGAGGCTATAGGAATTAGCTCGTGAATCTATAGCATTCCTCAGGAAGCTATGGAGCGTCTAGCTCAGGCTACATTGAGCACAGAGTTTATTGTTTTAGGCTTTCTTGGACAAGGTTTTTACTTAGCATGGGATTTATGGCATTTACTGCTAATGAATGTCTATTCTTAAATTACAAAAACCACCGTCTCAGCACAATTCCCAGATGTCCTTCCAGGACCTCGGCTTCTTAAACACCAGCAGGGAGCATAAACTCTCCACTTCTCTGTTTTCCTCTTTCGTGTGGCTCCGGGCTAATGATGTGTAAGGAAAACACAGCAATCTATAAAGTCTCAGTGCTGTCCCAGTATTCTTCATTTATTTTGCATTTGATTATGCCACAAGTCGGATCTTGTTTCTTTCCTTTTTTTAAAGTTATTAGTTCAAATATTAATGTAGGAATATGGCATATATTGCTGCTCTTGATTGATGCCTTCCCAAAAACAGGAAGACGTGCTCGTATGAATTTTAAGAAAGTAGGGGTCCTGCAATGCCTTGCCAGAAGAGTTTTTCAGATACATAATTTAGATGCCCTCCAGGCAGGCTTTCAAGGCATTTTTGCTGGAGGGCAAGAAAAAATAACTATGACTGTTAAAAGTAAATGATTTTTGCTAATGCACAATTAATGCCAGGGAAAAGCACAGAAGAGAAGGATGTTGATGGAAAGTTCTGATTAAGTGAGAGCTCTACCTTGATGTGCATCTTTTTTTTTTAATGATAATAATCACTGATGCAGAGATGTGGAAGTTTTCATGTCATGCAAATGCTGTATGCAGGGTCACACTAGGTGTACGTGTTTGTGGGTGCGTGTGCATGTGTGCTGGGAGGTGATGGTTACGGGGAGGGGCTCATCTGACAGYGTGTTATGTGCACTGAACGGTGACATGGTTACTGCCACCTCTGCAGAGGGCCTCGAATATATAGACTACAGAACATTTAACTTGATTACTTATACGTACATATTCAGAATGGTTGTAGGGATGCATTTACAGTAAATGGGYTTTCTTGTGGCAGGTTTTCCCACATTGAATCCCATAATTGAAAAAGAGCTACTGCACTATGTCAAGCACACAATTATAATTGAATTAATGATATATGCATGYGCGAAACACAAAATTAGTATTTGGAGAGACACGGTTTTCTAATTTTTACATATTTGTATCAGCATTCTTATTAATGAGAAATGGTATGTGCCTKATCTAACAAATAAAAACCCCCCAAACTGTGGTAGTGTCTTGGCATTAATGATACTTTTTGGCTTCTATATTTTGTTCATTAAACCTCTTCTCTTTACTGTTTTTCTCTTTGTTGTAGGAGATGGTTTAGACAACAGTGTAGCCTCACCTGGTACAGGAGATGACGATGACCCAGACAAGGACAAAAAGCGTCAGAAGAAAAGAGGCATTTTCCCCAAAGTAGCAACAAATATCATGAGAGCGTGGCTTTTCCAACATCTCACAGTAAGTGGTGGCCAAAACCAAAATAAATTTCTATTCATGTGCCTAATGAGGTTTATTCATCAGTATTAGAAATCAATTGTCCCCATAATTTTTTGACTTTTATTAGAACTCAGGTTTTGTTGGTTTTTATTTTTACTAGATTTTTTTTCTTGGGTCTTGGAATCATGACAAATCTCAAAGAAATCTCTCTCTGTATATGTATATATATAGAAACACATCCATGCCTATAGAGAGAAAAAGAGGGAGAGTACAACACCTTAGCATGGAACACCACCAATAGATGAAGCAACCGGTTTTAGCTTTAAACTTCTGAAAATCTTCCTACAGACTGCCAAAGGGGGTTCCTTGCTTTAGCACATATAAAGCTCTGCCTTCTGGATTCTTTACTGCTGGCCTCTGTTTACACAAACTTCATATGTATGTGGTGAATGAGAGAGCCCTGGTCTGYGTGTGCTGACATACACTGTGGATGTCAGAGAAGTCAAAGCAGCAGCTTGCAACCTTGTCATTGTTGCTTTTTTGGGTGAGAAATAAAGAAGGCTTACAGATTGCCTAATTTTTCAGTTGTGTAACAGTGAATAAGCATTTTTTTTCTTCTCTTCAAGTCCATTATTATTAAAACCCAGGCATATTCACATTTGGGGGAGAGAGATAAAATATGTGAAATAGCAATGCATTCCTTGGGCTGTCTTCATTTGTCTGCTTGCTGTTGGTTTTATTTGTTGGTGTTCTGTTGATTATTGTAGCTTCACTTCAAAACACAGTTTCAGAAAAAACCCAGTAAACCTAGTTCACTTCATGTGGGAAATGGTGGAAACCGGTACAATTATCGATTGATTTTCTTCTTCCTCACACTTTGAAATTATTTCTCACTTGATAAGGCTTAAAATGCTAACTGTTATTAACTACCTCTTCTTCTACCAAAGTTTTATAAATTTCCACGGTAGCTGCTGTTGGTTACAGTGTAATGATTCCGGGACCCGATTTATTTATGATAGAGACTATCGAACTGCTCTGCCAGCAGCGCAGCTAAAGGGGGGAGCGATAGATTCACATTTCTAAACCATCATTTTGATGTAAGGACATTAGTAGCAAACTAAGGTGCATTGATCTGGCCTGTGGGGTCAGGATTAGCTGGAATAGCCAGTGTCTCTGCTGGAGTAGTGGTTATTCCTGCCTCTCAGCTATGGCCATTTCAAAGGTCAGGTGCCCTGTACCCACTTGGCTCAGAGGAATTAGACAGAACATGAGTCTCTGGGCTGATTACTTAACCAAAGACAAAATAATGAGTCCTAAGCAAATACTGACTAATTGAAAGGGCTGTAAATCCATTACATATTGGTCAGGGATAATCAGGAGTATTTAATCACTTTTATCTATTCAGGAGCACTGAAGCTGCAACAGCAAAGCCCTGAACCTTGCCATGTGCTTATTATTCTCATCATTATCAAAATTACTTCACAGCTGTTCTTTGCTACATCACCTCAGCTGGAGATTTACTAACCTGTAAAATGTTTTTAATTTGGAAGTCGAGTGAGTGCGAGTGAAGGGTTTTTCATTTAGCTGTAGGGTATCTTTAGAGAAGTATTACAGGCAGACAGCAAAAAGCAGGGCCACAAATACACAAGTTTGAGTTGTGGACATCTCCATGTTAACTCCATTTCCTCTTACAAAATTTGTGATATCTAGGTTTTTTTTCTCCCTGCCTTACTTTCTTATGTGCTCCTTGAAAGCATTTGACACTTGCTTATTAAACAGTCAACTGCCTCTTGATTCTCTTCAGCAAAGTCCTTCTGGCTTTTTTTGAAATCCCTTTTCCTTGTTTCTGTCTTCTCTCTCTTGACTCTCTCCATCCTGCATGAATTAAGGAAATTTGCCATCACTAGTGAGGATGGCCTCACAAAAATCAGATTAAATGAACACAAAAAAGCCCCAAACCTTTTACCGTCCAGGCTTTAATGAGTTTGCAGGTGTTGAAAGATTTACTGGGCTGTAATTCTCAGACCTGCAAACTGATAATGGAGACCCCTGACCAGTGCAATGTAAATTCAGAAAGATTCTTGCCATAAACACATGCAGGGAAGGAAGAGAACTCCTTTCTTTTAAACATCTCTCACTTTTTCTCAAATTAGCTTGTCCATTCAAAACCTAACTCTGGCTGAACCAGAACAGGGGAATCTGTGATGTACAATTTTATTGTTTCAAGTAAATATCTTTACAATGGCAGTTCATGATTCAATGTACATCCCTTCATTACTACTCTAACCTTATTTCAAATTGGTTTGTTCCTCCTTTGTGCTGTATGACCTGTTCTTGTATTACAATAATCCCCTGATGTACCCTTTTTTCTTTCTCTTTCTCTCTTTTTTTTTTAAAGAAACTAATTGAATTATCTCATTATTTTAATTTGTTAAGCAAATGTATTTTACGTCTCAGGATGTGTTCTTAAAGAAGGAGCTGCTTAGGCTTTGCCCCCTGAATGGGCCATTGGTACATTTTGACATTCATGCATTCATTGAGAGGAACATAAAAGAGCTCTGGTTGTATTTTTTTTTCAAACACCCAACCAGCATGGAGCAACTTTTCCATAAGCCACAGGGGTCTCTCTACATATGTTCTCAACTGCAAGCCATTGTCACCTATTCTGAATACCTCAAAAGGACAAATAAAATACTAAAGGCCAACTGTAGCAATTGTTAGCTGTTAGTCTCAATATGACAAAAATCATTAACCTCTGATTTCCCTGGAAGGAGAGGCACTGGCAGGCCATCCCTTATGGCATGGATTAAACTTTAAAGTCTTTTAGACTGTCAAATTCCGAGACAGTAACTCAGATCTGACTAATTGTATTTACTTATGATTTTAAATAAAATGCAATTTTTTTTCCTTTATTCAATCAGTTTGCAAACTCCTAAGGCAGGCAATTTTAAAAATTGAATGGCCTAAGTGGCTTTTTTGAAGAGACAGGCACTTGAACTCTGATGTAGAATGAATGTGTCTGACAGGCTGTGTCTTTCAAAATGATTTCTAACCCTTATCACAGCTTCCATTTTGTAGTAATTTTAATTATATTTGAAATAAGACACACATGCATGTTTTTATTGTTGGAAATCAAATGCAAGGAGTAGGAGCTTCTGTCATGTTCTTGTTCACTTACTGAGCTCTGTCTTACATTTGGAATTACAACAGTACCGGAAGATAAAAGATCTGAGGATGAATTGGTTGGAAATGTGTATGCTTTTTCTGGAAAATATCCAATGTTTAAGAAAGTAGAGGAAATCCTAGTCTGGTAGTATAATCTTTTCAATAGTACATAAAGATTACGACATCAGAAAGGTAAACCTGACATTAAGACTGTTTTTAGTTGAGTTCAAAGGTGGTTAAAGAAAAGAAACAGCAAGAAATCTGACCCAAGCCGAGAGTTTATTCATAGCTTTGGAAGACTCCTTTTCCTCTATGCTAAGGAGTTCTTAGTACACTCAATTGGCCTCTCAGACATCTCTGCTTTCCTCCCTCAAGTGCTCCGCTATTTGCCCTGCAAAGAACATATTTGATCACGAAGTGAAAACAGGAAGTGCTCAAATGTATAGACACCTCCAGCTTACACCAATGTTGAGATTAGGGTTTCTTACCAGCGACTATAGAGCCAGTCCCCCTCCTCCCATGCCCTTTTGAATGATGGAGGACCTTTAAAATACACGTACATAATCAGAAGAGAGGAAAGTTATAAAGGAAGTAATTATACCATTCTACGGACTTGTACTCTGGTAGTTCATCCTTTTCTGCAGCCGTGTGCCAAAGACTACATTTTTGCTACATTCCATATTTTTTAACCTTCTTTTACAGAGCTGGTAGAACAGAATCTCATTTATTCTTTGACACTCACCTGGAGTGATGCCCTTTGTTAAAATTCTATTTTGGTTGTTTCYTTTGTTACAGTCTTTAAGATGTGTATCTTAACTAATAGTACCAGATTTAACAAAGGTAGCCTGCAAACTAATGCTTTTTTAATGAAAATGCCAGATTCCCATTTGATGGTATTTGGGATGTCTCCCCTGAAGTCAGAGGAGTTGAACTGGTTTTGTTGCTTTTTTTTTCTAGCTGAATTTCTGTCTTCTAATGCTGAACAGTGTCATTTTAGCCTGATTTCCACAATCTTCTGGCTGAAAATCTTGCACTTTACACAATCTATTGTGGAATATATTCTGATTTTATCTGTTTCATTGTCAGCCTAGAGTAAGTTCTTCTGGAAGGTGATAAAATGAACCAGCCACAGCTTTTGTACTTAGCTGAATTAATTTTCTTAACTTGTCATATTCAGGTGTCCAGGTTGGATAATATGAATAGTCTCATTGAAACAGATTTTTTTCCTGTATTTATGTGGGTGTATCTGAGAATAAAATGTATATCTATCATATTTTGATGAATGGCTTATCAAGCCTTTTATACAGGGCAGCCATTTCATTTATTCATTAGATTTGATTCTAGAGATGGATATCATCACCCAAAGCCAATCTTGGAGCTAGTGTTCAAAGAAGTTGAATCCAACCCAACTTCCTAAATATCTCCTTCCATATTGTGATTTTAGGAATAATACCTTAAAGAAAGGTTGTAAACATAGTGCTGTTGCACTCCACACCTAACAGCTAACAGCCATATCAAACTGTAGAACAGTTTTTCTCTGAGATGTGATCTGGGAAAAGCATTCTTCTCATTGCTGGTTTTTCTCTACTTTAAAAAACAAAAAACAAACTCAAAAATACAACAGACCTCTGTCCAGTTAAAATGGTGAGAAGAAGGCTGGGAGGCTCCAGATAATACAGGAATGTTCAATCATGCTAGGGAATTTTGGTGCATGTGTTGGAGTGCACTGTAACATGTTATACACGGAGGAGGTGGGCAGCGTCCCCTGATTCTGCTGTAAAACTGTGCATGTTTGCATGGCTGCCATTTCCACCTCAGTGCACCACCGAGCCTGAGAGCTGGAGGAGCCTAAGCTC